TACAATTGTTTTAGATATCAGGAAAGATATCTTTCCCCAAAGACCCAGAGCAAAATGATGACATCAACCACATTTAAATTCGGTCATGGAATTTTTGTCTACACTGATGAAAATCAAACAAATGGAAGGACAGGAATAAGGACTAATCACAGAAAGAGTGTGCATTCTTTTGCCAAAGGCTAGCTTTCAGCCCTGAAAATGTATATAGAAGAAGGCCACACTGCTTAGGCTATACTGATTACTGATTTGATCCTTTTTTTCCTTTCTTCAATTTGAGAGAATGCTAGGCAACATAGCAATTTCTCCTAATATGTTAAGTAAAGAAAGCAGGTTCCAAAACAGCATCCTGGTGTTTATTGAACTATATGTAACAATATGCATCAAAAGATAGAGATTATCTCTGAGAGGTAAGATTATTTTCCAATTTGTTCTTATATGGTGTCCAAATAGAAGTGAGAAACCACATGGAGCATACATGCAATTCATAAGCAATTCAGCTTTACTTTTATCAGGGATCTTGGCGACTAGTCCCTGGTCCTTTTGTGTAGCAAGCCCTGGATCTTGTCTATACACCTAGCACAGATCCACCCTCAGGGTCAGGCTCAAACAAACCAATCTCAAAGACTGAACAACAAAATAAGAATGCACATTATTTAATCTGAGAACCAAAGAAGGAAAGAGGACCAGTTCCTGTATTCATGCCCTATGGGGTACCACACAGGAATCCAAATGCCACACGAGCATATTATCTGGAGTAGGAAGGGTAAGTAATGATTTACATATCTACGTAAAGATAACTGAAAGGAAACCCACTGGTCCTCAGATTCCCCAAGGTTAGACACAGGGACTGTCCAAGAGGGAAGCAGCGGGGTGCCTGGGTGGCTCAGTCGCTGAGCATCTGCCTTCGGCTCGGGTCATCTCAGGGTCCTGGGATGGAGCCCCGCGTCGGGCTCCCTGCTCAGGGGGAAGCCTGCTTTTCCCTCTCCCACTCCCCCTGCTTGTGTTCCCTCTCTCGCTGTGTCTCTCTCTCTGTCAAATAAATAAATAAAAATCTTTAAAAAAAAAAAAAAGAGGGAAGCAGCACTAGATCCGGAAGCCCAGACTCTTGGCTTCCAACACTTAGCTTTCTCTTAGGGACCTCTTAGACCTATCCTTGCGGAAGGAAACAATGAACATGTTCTAGGAGTCGCCATCTTCTAACAGAAGAGTTTCAATTGTGATTAATAATCCGCTCAATTCTGAAAGCATTTTCTCTTATCTCCCTTTCCCACTGTTCCCTCAATTGAAGAAACAGATTTCTTCATTCTTAACGCAAGGTCTGTCATTAGGTCCTTGGGAGCTCTAGAGGACACTGGCCATGTTCTTGGATGCAGAGATGGGTTCTCCTGTGATACAATGCACAAAAGTTTAATCCCCATATTTTTAAAGATAAAATTCAAAATCCTCAGCTTCGTATACTGAACCCACTAGGTCAGCTAGAGAGGAGTATCCACTTGGCTCTCTCCATAGTGCAGGACTTTGATGCTATGTACTCACACCTGCTGTTTGGGGCTTCTTAAAAGTCCCATCCTAATGATGATAAATCAACATGTCACCAAACAAAAAAGCAAACAAGGAAAAGTGACGGCTGCATTTAAGAAAAAGTATTTTTTATTTATTTGACAGAGAGAGACACAGCGAGAGAGGGAACACAAGCAGGGGGAGTGGGAGAGGGAGAAGCAGGCTTCCCGCCGAGCAGGGAGTCTGATGCGGGGCTCGATCCCAGGACCCTGGAATCATGACCTGAGCTGAAGGCTGACGCTTAACCTACTGAGCCACCCAGGTGCCCCAAGAGAAAGTATTGTACTAGATAAATTGCTATTGTCAGTGATTCTCTGTAACATGAGAATGAATACAAATATTAGAGGGCATTAGAAAATGCCCTTCAGCTGGAAATCAACATTTAAAAAAAAAAAAAATCCAACTTTGCCCAGAGTTAGAAGAACTGCACTTTCCTTTCCCCATTCACTGTTCAGTTTATGATAATTTTTATTAGTGCACCCATTTTCTAAGGGCTCAAATACAAGTTTTTATCACAGAGTAATGTAAACATAAATACGCACATACACATATTCATGTACATGTTTTTTTAAAACATGCTTTGGGGGGTGCCTGAGTGGCTCAGTCATTAAGAGGCTTCTCCCTCTCCTGCTCCCCCTGTTTGTGTTCCCTCTCCCGATGTCTCTCTCTGTCAAATAAATAAATAAAATCTTTAAAAAAAAAAATGCTGGGGCGCCTGGGTGGCTCAGTCGCTGAGCGTCTGCCTTCAGCTCGGGTCATGATCTCAGGGTCCTGGGATCGAGCCCCACATCGGGCTCCCTGCTCCGCGGGAGGCCTGCTTCTCCCTTTCCCCCCTGCTTGTGTTCCCTCTCTCGCTGTCTCTCTCTCTCTCTCTCAAATAAATAAATGAAATCTTTAAAAAAAAAAAATGCTTTGAGAGGGATATAATCTAAACCAAGCAAATTTCTCAAGAAACAAACCAATAGTCTCCAAAATACCAACTGACTTTTATTTGCCTTCATCATCACCCTCTCCCCTGTGGGTCACTCACTGAAGGTATCTTCTAAGATTTGTGGTGTTATGCTTTTCTAAATATACATTCACACTTCACTTTTACAAAGCGAGTTCCGAGGAAAGTCTTAAGGAAAAACCATTAACAAAAGCCACCTGGAAATGGTTCACGGAAAAAACTTTATCACTTTAAGGACAAGTGATAAGCTGGCAATGGATCTATGCCTTCACGAGGGCTAACAGAGATTCCCTGCACCTCTGGTAGCATTGTACTGACATGTCCTAACAGTTCCAGTGCCACACATGCCCCACCCCGCCTCCCCAGCATTCCCTCAGAAGAAGGGATTTCTAAATGTTTTTTAGATGAATTCTCTACTGACTGTCATGATTGTGATATGCTAAGGGAAAAGAGTAAGCTTAGGTGAGCACATTTTTTTTGTGAAAGAAAAACTGTATACATATTTATAAACACATATGTACACATACACGCTACAATGTTTATATATGCATAGAAAAAAGTCTGAAGGACTTCTAAACAATATGGTGCACTGAGTTGACTCAGAAAGACACAGAAATGATGGATTTTAAATTCTAGAAAACAATAACAGATGAGACAGCCTATTCAGAGGTAGAGTATTCTAAAATCCTTATACTATTTGGGAGGGGGAGAGAGATAATGAATCATGTCAAACTGTTAAGCATGTGTGCCAAAATTTTTAAAGTAACCATTAAAAGATTAATGATGGAATGCATAATTTCTGAAACCATTGGTGAGGGATGGGGGATGATAAAAGAAAAACTGGTTAATACAATAAAAGGCAAGAAAGAGGAAAAGAGACCAAAAAGCACATCAAATATAGAAAATACAAAATAAGATGGTAGAAGTAAACCTAAATATGTCAGTGATCACGATATAAGTTAACAATTTCACATAATGACAATAGTAGCAGCTAACATTTATTGGGCATTTACTGTCTTTTCCATATTAACCCTGCTAAAATGTATCATCATATCGACCTTGTAAGACATGCTATTAAGTGCATTTTACATGAGAAAACTGAGGGTAATAGAGTCACCATCTGGGAAGTGGCAGAGCCAGGACTTAAATCACGGAAGTCTGGCTTTAGAGGTTGTACTCTAATAGGCTGATAGCCTATTAGAAGTCTCATCTTGTCCATACACATATGCAATGTTTATATTAATTGTAATGTTAAGATACAATTTTATAGTCATATTTTCCATTTTGCTATAGTGTTCTTATTATTTTCTTTGTTTTCCCTTACCTTTCTTCTCTGCCTCTATCCATCCTCCCAGCCTCTACAACCTTTCTCCATACTCATACAAACATTTAAACATACTCGTATATGGGAGGGGATTTTTTTTTTTTAATGGAAACATACCACACTGTATGCACTTCTCTGCAATTTGCTTTTTTCCCAGGAGGAAATGGATATCTTTCCTGGAGAAGAGACACAGAACTAATTTACCCTTTTAAAATAACTACTTCATGATATTACATAAATTGGATGTGACACAATTTATTCAACCATCACCCTTCTGATAGACACTCAAGTCACAGAGCAGGTCCTATGATCTCTGCAATAGTATGAGGACACAACTTCCCTGATCTCATTTTCACCAATCTCAAGTCTAGTATAGTTTATGTTTCCTGGCAAAGCTCTATGTTTACATTGATTTTTCTTCGTTACAATATTCCAGTGATTTAGGTTTGCCGATGAGTAAATCCGGGGTTCGCGTTATTAAAGTTTCCTCAGGTCATACAGCCACAAAGCTGGGTTCAAAGCTCCCACGTAAACCACTACCTCTCCTTACAAATCCATGTATCCTAGGAAGTACTGCCTCCTGGAACATCTAAGTTCAGTCAATAGGATGGATTTTTCTTTACTCCATGGGCCCCCTCCACTGGCCCCAGACCTCGCGAAGCCCTTAGCTCAAGGATTTGAGATCGTCCAACCCTCCTAAGTATCCTGTGCAGTCCAGAAAACACTTCCGGCTGAGAGTCTGATTCTTGAGCAGAGGCCGGTGGAAAGGAGGCCCTTTTCTCTCTGAGATGCAGTGAAGCTTACACGATTTGGGAGAATCTGGACTTAGAGAAGCCAAGATCCACCAGGAGAGCCAGAAAAGGGAAGGAGAAACATGTCAGGGGTACAACTACAGTTACTGCAACACAACGAGTACGCGTCTGAGAGCGACGCGACTCATCCACCCGTGGTAGCCCCCATTCTAACAGGAAAAGGGGGCACTTACCTGCACACCTCCCACCTTGTTTTGGCCTTGAGACCCCTCAAACTCCTCGTATTTCGCTACCACGTGTCCGGCTAGCAGAATTCTCGGCCCCCTAAACCACCGCCTCCGCTGCAGAGCCAATCAGGGAGCACTGCGTCATCCCCGGGCGCCAGTAAAAGGCAAAGGTAATATCAAAGCGAGCTCTGGCAACTACAAGGCCGCGGGACCGCTGCCGTTGCCATGGGTTACTGAGCTAACCCGTTCCGCCTGCGCAAAGCCTCCTGGGAGTGGTGGTTCGGCGGCGCCCCACACCTGCCTTCTTTGAGGCCGGAGGAACTACAACTCCCAGGACGACCCGGAAGCAGCCTAGGCAACGGAGCGGTAGTTCCAGCATTGCGGTGGTCCGGACCCGAACCTGGAAAATGCTGCTGGCGCCCCAGGAAAGGTCCTCCTCTAGGAAGAGGACGGGGCCGAATCGCTGGAAACAATTTACAAAGAAGCCGAGTCCTAAGGTGATCCATCCCAATCGGGAGCTCTGGGGGGGCGGGGACCGGCCCCGAGGCAACCGGCTGGGCTGCGCTACCTCCCTCTTCCCCCAGGGGCGTCCTTAGCTGGCTGCCCCTTGCCTTGACTGCCCTGGAGCCAGCATTGTCCTGGTGAAGGGGGCCTACGAACTTTGGGGTCTGGATAACTTACGGCTTTGTTGGGCAGTAGCGTGAAAGAACTCTTTCCATTTTATTAAACAGGAGAGGTCTGGTAGTGCCCATCCCGGTGAAGAGAATTCGCGAACTCCCTCGCCTCGCATTCCCACCCCCGCAATTTTAGGGAATTTCTCGCACATTTCTTTCTTCCCTTCCCATTTCCTTCCCCTTCTCTTCCTTTCCTAATTTTAGATCGTTATTGGAGAGGGAACACCTTCATGTTAAGTACTCTGCCTCATATTCCTCCCCTTCTAATTTTTCATAAAGTATCAAAAATGAACTCAGGAATCAAGTGGATATTGGACATATCAATACTTGATTCACTTGAATTTTTTTGAATTCAACCAACATTTCCTTTTTATATGTTACCTCCTTTGATGCCTTAGAATCCAAAGACATGGAAAACTGGTAAGCCTATTTTAAACTTGAAACATACATAAATGTCATGTGCAAAGTCACAGTCACACGGTGTGTGCTTTCCATAGACTACCTTTTTAACAGTCACAAAAATAACTGCTTTAAATGTAAGTGAGAGTACCAAAATGGAGTGGTTTCTCAGCTTCCAGCTCCAGAGCACTTTCACCAGCTGTTTTCACCCTTAAGTTATACTTTCTTAAAAAAAAAAAAATCTCTAGACACGTGGCATTTTTAGGGCTCTAGGCAATCGTACTTGCAGTTTATTCTAAATATACCTATTAAATAATGCCCTGGACATATTCCACTTGGTGAATATCTTGGCCCAGATACCAGAGGGTGTAGATAGGAGCACTAGAGAGAGTTGGAAACAGAGTCAGCTCCTATTGTAATGTGCTAGTTCCACAATAGATTGGATCTCAAATAGGTTATGGGTATAGATTTGATGATGAAATGTAAAAATTTGGGACAGTTTCTTAAGACTCCAAAAGGAAAGATTTTTGCTGCTAGTGCTCCTTGTTACTGCCTAGAGGGTAAAAAAGAAAAAGCACAAGAGCTTCTTGAAGTTTAGTTGTGTTTTAATAGGATCAGCTCTTTGCTGCAGTGACAAAATTATTCAGCAGTACAGCTACATTAATTAGTTATCTTAAGGTGCTTTGAAGGTGAAGTGTTACGTAAGTGAAAGAGTATTATACCTTTCCTTCCTCCATGTGACGGTATGCTGGTTTAGATATTCCCTTCTTTATTTAAAGACCCACCTGAATTATTAGCAAAGCAAATACCTCTATTTGTTAAGTGACTGTTAGAGGGAATTCCACAAGCTTCTAAGAGTTACAGAGAGTGAAGAAAGGAGGTATCCTACTGGTTTGATTTCTAATTTCAGATTAATATCTGACTGACCTGGGTAAAAATATATGTGATCTTTACTTCATTTTCTGCTTTGTAAGACAGAAGATTATCCCCCACTACATCCTCCCACCGCCAGCACCCCTCCCCCAGTTATTACTGGATCAAACAATATTCCTGCTATAGGTAAGATAGGAAAGCCCCTTGCTACAGGTTGTTCTTGAAAAGAGGGACCCGACGAAAGGGGCATAGCCTTCTCCAAGCAGATTTGCTTCCGTGACATTTGAATAATCTGGCTCATTAATCAGTGCTTGTTTGGTTTTTTATAAAGATTATATCTAGCATTCCTCTATTTTGGCTCTTGGAGAGCTTTATTTTTTTTAAGATATTATTTATTTATTAGAGAGAGAGTCCGGGAGGAGGAGCAGAGGGAGAGAGACAAGCAGACTGCATGCTGAGTGCAGAGACAGACGCAGGGCTCGATCCCAGGACCCTGAGATCATGACCCAAGCCGAAATCAAGAGTCAGCCGCTTTAACTGACTGAGCTCCAGGTGTCCCTCTGGAGAGCTTTAAAAAAAAAATAATTCTGATACCTGGGCCCTATTCCAGACCAATTAAATTAGAATCTCCAGGTGGGCTTAGGCAGGAGATAAAAACAGAAGAGATCCCAGAGAAGGCTTCATGTTTCTTCCTCTGACCATCATTCTGTGTCCTTGCTGAACTTGCTGACGAAATGGCTTGGAGAAGGAAAAAGGACACTTTTCCATATGCTTTAGTCAGAAGGATAGATTAAAATGGCAAAGTTGAAAAAAAAACGGCAAAGTTGATAAAGTTATTGCTGTGTATTAATATTCTCTGTATATTATCTACAGCCTGCCTTTGAGCCTGACAATGTGGAACACTGGATTAAGGTAAGGATATTGCACAGTTAAGATAGAGAGTTAAGAGTCAGACATAATCTGATGGGAAGGAATACTGATAGACCTCCATTTTGCACATGTTTTGCTATTTTTCTCATGTGACTGTGTTGCTTTAGTTTTATATTCCTTAGTATTTTTTTTCATTATTCTGTTGCTTTTCATGAAAATATGAATGACAAGAAAATGGGTATAGACATGCTCTTTTTTTTTTTTTAAAGATTTTATTTATTTATTTGAGAGAGAGAGACAGAGCACAAGCAGGGGGAGGGCAGAGGGAGAGGGAGAAGCAGACTCCCTACTGAGCAGGGAGTCGACATGGGGCTTGATCCTGATCCTGGGACTCTGTGATCATAACCTGAGCCGAAGGCAGACGCTTAACTGACTGAGCCACCCAGGTGCCCCTAGACATGCTCTTTCAAATGCTGTGAGGATCCCATGAAGAGGACTAAAGGAGCAGGGGAGGAGAAGCTGTAAAAGAGGATGTGGTAGCCTTCCTCAGATACTGGAAAGACTGTACTGTAGTTACATTGATCTATGGGACCAGTGCATTAGGTGAAAGCTGTGCATGCATGGTAAGAATTTTCTAATACCTGGAGGGATCCAAAAATGGAGCGGCATTCTCATAAAGAGGTCAAAAACTAATGATGTAATGTATGGTGATTAACATAACATAATTAAAAAAGATGTATTTTCTATCAATAGAAGTGTTCAAGTGGATTCTAAATGGCCACTTAATGTTAGGACTAATGAAGACTATGTTTGAGCATTCCGTGAGGGGGGGATTGAATTACGTAACTTTCTGAGTACTTTTCCAGGCCTGAGATACGTGTTTTTGAGTCCAAGTACCATTTAAGTTGAAAGTACTATTAAACTACTTCAGGTGCATGCCTCTGAGTGTCAGTTTGGCAACTTGCCATACTCAATTCATTTGTGCAGCATATGTTTCAAAATCATGCGGCATTTTCCTGGGAAAATATCATTCTGCCTGGTAGTATTTTGAAGAGCTATTACTTATCAAAATTGACAGGCATTATAAGTCCAGATGGAACCCAGGCCAGATGTAATCACTGTTAACTATTTATTTATCCAGCCAGTATTTATTAAGTGCCTTCTAAGTAGTAGTCCACTGTTGAACACTGAAGATAAAACCGAGCTCTGGGCAGGTATAATCCCTGCCTTCCTAGAGTTTATAGTCCAGTGGAGATTAAACTTACTTAAAACCAGTGGGAGAATTAAAGATGTAATAGAAGCAGGTGGTGGGGACGCTAATCTAGACAGGCCAGAGAAGGCTTCCTGGTTCCTGCAGAAGGTCTGACTTAGAAGACCACTAAAACATCTGCCCTTGTGGAGGCCGGCCTCTGGGAAGCCCACTCCTCAGCGTCCTACTAAGCCTAGTTTCCATGTCCGTGCTGAGTGTCCCAGTGCCAAGCCCCTGCAGGGCTCAGTTGCACATTTAGTTACTGTCTCCTCCAGAGGGAAAGATTTAAGTAAAAGAGAAGGATAAAATTCTGCTCTGACTTTATGCGCTTGTCAGACAGCTTGACCGGTTAGATTTTTATCATTCCTCTAAAATTTCCACAATAGCTCTGTCTCCATTATGCCCTCAAATCTCCCATCTCAAAAAAAAAAAAAAAAAAAAAATCAGTAAGTCCTTACTTGACCCTGCAGTCCATTCTGATTATGGTACAACATCTTTTTCTTATCCAAGTCTTTGAGTGTATAGCCTAGACTCCTTGCCCTTGCATTTTTATTATCCTCTGCTGTCTACAGTAATTTCCTCCTGTTTCTGTTTCTCACCACTCCCCAGAAATGGTTGTCCTAAATGACTTCCTGACCAAATCCAGTGTTCTCTTCTTCATCCTCAAACTTTGTAAGGTTCGTTTGATCCAATTATCACTTTTTTTATTCTAGAAATTTTCTCCTTCGTTATCTTTTTATAACCTTGTTTTCTCCTACTACTTTTCTGTTCACTCCTGTCTTCTTTTCTGATTTTGTTCCCTAATGTAACCCAACTCTGGGTGTATCCTAAATAGTTAGGACTTCTGAACCTAAGACTTCCAAATCCCCTTGAGTGCACCACTCCCTCAAAATCAGCTTAGACCTTGTTACATGAAAGAAGGGGGAGAATATGGAAAGAGTGTGAAGCATGGTGAAGATCAAGAAAGGGCTTTCTTCAGAACAAAAGAGATCACCGGGGCAGCAATGGGGACTTGGCTGAAGCAGGTAACCAAAGTCTTAATGTGGTACCCAAAATTGGTAGATCAGATTGACCCGGCCTTGAAAGTTTTCATTGGAGAGGTAAAGATACAAGTGATCTGAGGCTTATGTAAGAGAGTATCTGAATATCCATGCAGAGTAGGAAGGAGGGGACCCTTTAAAGATTTTACTTATTTATTTGAGAGAGAGAGAGAATGAGAGAGCATGAGGGGGGCAGGGTCAGAGGGAGAAGCAGACTCCCCGCCGAGCAGGGAGCCCGATGTGGGACTCGATCCCGGGACTCCAGGATCATGACCTGAGCCGAAGGCAGTCGCTTAACCAACTGAGCCACCCAGGCGCCCAGGAGGGGACCCTTTAAAGAACTCCTAGGTTGGGAAGAGGAGGCCTATAGTGACGAAGGACATGGTTAGGTGCAACACCAATGTAGCGGAGGAGCAAAACAGGGAGATGGACAGGAGGCTTAAACAACTTACTTAAAACCAGTGGGAGAATTAAAGATGTAATAGAAGCAGGTGGTGGGGACACTAATCTAGACGAAGGACATGGTTAGGTGCAACACCAATGTAGCGGAGGAGGGGGAGCAAAACAGGGAGATGGACAGGAGGCTGATGTTGGGGGAGGTGTTATCAGCTTTGGGGTTGAACAATGGGAAATTCTGTGTGATGTGGTTCAGGATGACCATGTCAGTGGGTTGCAGAAGTACGATTGCGGGAAAGGCTGTTGGAATACAGGAGATGAAGCAAACCTTGAGGCTGAAATGTTGGTGAGTCTTCCTCAGGAACGCTGAAGTCACTTAGAATCAGGCAGATACTTGAGTAGAACTGTGAGTTCTGGGGCAGCTCACCCAAAATGCAACAATTCACCATGATTTATAATTTATCCTCATCCTGACTTGATAGACCCATCTTTTTACTCCTGTGCATTCTGTTACTTTGATACTTAAGCTTTCTAAACATTTTCATTGATTCTCTGTTCTGGAACCTTCAGGGACTATGCCATCTGATGAAACTGTAAATTCCAGATGGGCACTTATGGCCCTCTGTCAATCTAGCTGTAATATCAATCTACCTGTAACAGCCCCTTTGCTGATACTCTGTGTGACTCTTGTCAGGCCAGTCTCCTTCCCCTTCTATCTTCCCTTCACTTTGACGCACACTGATCCCCCAAGCCTGGAATACCATTCCTCTCTTGGAGGCCAATCCAGATCTTTCCCTTAAAGTTCAGCTGAGATGCCCCTCTGAGTGAACAACTCCCCTGACGCACCTCAACCACCTAATCCCATCTTCTAATACTTTTTCCCTTGGAATTATGTTGGCATTCATACACAACAGAAACTGCATCCAGCATTTGCTTGTATACAGAGAGATTTAAAAAGAATTGGACACTTTCAAAAATACATTACTCCCAAAACTATTATTTATAAACATGGAGTTTGCACTTGAGGGTATATGAAGAAACTTGTTTGTACCTCCCAGCCTTGAGGAAATGAAAGAGTGCCTTGTAGCTTCTGTTCCTGCCGTCCAGTGGACACTGGGATTGATGTGTGTCATGGGATGTAAGGAGCGCTTATTGAGCATTTATAAGATCATGGGAATAAGATAGTTCCTTTACAAATTATATATTTACATGTAACACAGTTACTGAGTAGGAAACCTTTGAAGGTATTTGGGGTTTCTTATCACCCTGTGTTCCTTTAGAACTCTTCTTGAACTGTGTCTTGCACGTGTGGCACATGACACAGTAAACAGGTAGGTAGTAGGTAGGTAGATAAAAGTGAACTCTTTGATGGTCGCTTTTAGTTTTGTTTTCCCCTCAGTGTCCACTAAGGTAGTGGGAACAATGCTAGCCTTCAATCCTTCAATCAACCTGCTTAAAGAATAAGTTGTTAAATTGACACTTTGTTTTATTGAAATATAATTTAAGATAGACCTCTTCTGTCTCTCACATACTTATTTTGAATGAAATGGTAAGGATGTAATATTTTTTTTTTTTTTTAAAGATTTTATTTATCTGAGAGAGAGAATGGGAGACAGAGAGCATGAGAGGGGGAGGATCAGAGGGAGAAGCAGACTCCCTGCCGAGCAGGGAGCCCCATGTGGGACTCAATCCTGGGACTCCAGGATCATGACCTGAGCCGAAGGCAGTCGCTTAACCAACTGAGCCACCCAGGCGCCCCGGATGTAATATTTTAAACAAGGAAATACGAGACTGTTTCTAATCCTTAATATCATCTAGTATTTTTTTTAACCAAAATCTTCATTTTAAGTGATATCCCAAACACTTGCTTTGTGAGAGCCAAGCAAACATTTCTCCTTACTCCCTTCCTTGTAAGTACCAGCCTGTGTCCTTCTTGAGTACCAAAATCAGTCTTCTCCTGTGTCCAAGCTCTGTCTGCCTCCTTTGTTAAGAATCTGTACCAATTCCAATTCAGGTGAGATGACCTATCATACAGCGTTCTTTCTTTCACTCATAGCCTGAGGAACTAAGTCTACAATCCTGTTTTGTTGTTTATTTTTTTTTGTGAATGTTGGTTTAAAAACTGAAAGTTGATCTATTTATTTGTACATTATTTACATATATGTGTAGATAACATACACAATGATACATGCGAGATTCATCTTGCTGTCTTAGAATTTTTAAAACCTTAAAGGGAAGGACTGTGTGCCAAGCATAATGTGACCATCCAATAAATGGCATATCGACCATCATAAATTTGGGTACATCAGAGGCCAAGAAATAGTATGGGAGACAGATCTCTCCAGTATGACCTCATAAAGAGTGAATGATATTTTCTTTATTCTAACCCTGATTAGATCATGTTTTCTTCTGATTCATATCTTTTCCTGTGTGTTCTATTTTCTACATCTTTTTCAAATTACCCTTAGCTTTTCAACTTTATTCCTCTGTTTCTAATTCAAACTTAATATACGAAACCCTTGAGAATTTAAAAGGTAAAGTCCCAGGGCACTTGGGTGGCTCAGTCATTAAGCATCTGCCTTCCGCTCAGGTCATGGTCCCAGGGTCCTGGAATCGAGCCCCGTGTCGGGCTCCCTGCTCAGCAGGAGGTCTGCTTCTCTCTCTCCCCCTGCTTGTGTTCCCTCTCTTGCTGTCTCTCTCTCTCTCTCTCTGTCAAATAAATAAATAAAATCTTTAAAATAAAATAAAAGGTAAAGTCCCTGGCAAGTTTTGGCAGAGGTACTACCAGTCTTTCCATGAAGGGCAAGAGGAAAAATCATTTTCAAAATAGGTCAGGCAGCAATATAAACTGTGGGGCAAGTACAGCTTTTTAAAATAAATTTTAGGGGTGGCGCCTGGGTAGCTCAGTCGTTAAGCGTCTGCCTTCGGCTCAGGTCATGATCCCAGGGTCCTGGGATCGAGCCCCGCGTCGGGCTCCCTGCTCTGCGGGAAGCCTGCTTCTCCCTCTCCCACTCCTGCTGCTTGTGTTCCCTCTCTCGCTGTGTCTCTCTCTGTCAAAAAATAAATAAAATCTTTAAAAAAAAATAAATTTTAGGGGCGCCTGGGTGGCTCGGTTGAGTGTCCAACTCTTGATTTTGGCTCAGGTCATGATCTCAGGGTCCTGGGATCGCTAAGTGGGGAGTCTGCTTGTCTCCCTCTCCCTCTGCCCCTCCCTCGACTCATGCTAAGCTCTCTCTCAAATAAATAAATCTTTAAAAAAATAAAATAATAAAATTTTACATGTATTCATTTTTTAACTAACATTTATGGGGCACCTGTTATATGACAGTACCTATAATAGGTACTGGGGGTTTCACACATGAAGAGGAGGACAAACATGCCTGCTCACATTCTACTAAGGGGAGATAGTATATGGTAAAATATGTGACAGGGTCATAAGTGCTGTAGAGAAAGTCAGAACAGAGAAGGGGAATAGGGAGAGCCGTGCGGAGGGTGGTTACAGTTTCATGTAGGGTAATTCGAGAAAGCCTTACTACGAAGGTGACATTTGGGTAAAGACATGAGGAGGCAAGAGAAAGAGTTGTATGGGTATCAAGGGAGAGCAGTCCAGCAGAGGGGCAGTAAGCCAAAGGCGCTGGGGTGGGACTGTGCTTGGCATATTTGAGAAGGAATACACAAGGTCAGTGTGGCTGAAGTCAAGTAAGCAAAGGGATATAGCAGACGAGAAGGTTGTAGAGCTCACAAAGGGCCTGATGGTGCAGGACCTTGAAGCACATAGTAAGGACTTTGCTTTTTATTCTGAGTGAAATAGGGAACCATGAAAGGGTTTTTTTGTTTGTTTGTTTGTTTTTTCAAATTTTTTAATTTTTTATTAGAGCACAAGCAGGGGGAGTGGCAGACAGAGGGAGAGGGAGAAGCAGGCTCCCCGCTGAGCAGGGAGCCCGACGTAGGGCTCGATCCCAGGACCCTGGGGTCATGACCCGAGCCAAAGGCAGACGCTTAACCGTCTGAGCCACCCAGGCGCCCCACCATGAAAGGGTTTTGAGCGGAGTTATGTGTGGCTTTCATTTCAAAGGGACTGTCTGCTGTGGTGGGAGACTATCACAGAAAACCTGTCAGGAAATTGTGGTGCCTTGGACCAGGTGAGAGCAGTAGAGGTGACAAGAAGGGGTCAGATCCTGGATATATTTTGAAAATAGAGTCAACAGATTTCCCAACAGATTGGTTGTGGGGTAAGAGGGAGAGAATAGATTCAAGGACGCCAAGGTTTTCATCCTGAGAACTGAAAGAGTGGCATTGTCACCTAGGTTGGAAGCCTGGGAATGCAGCAGATGTGGAGGAAAGCAAGTTTGTAGGGAGGGAGAAAGTCAGGGATTTAACTGTAAAAGAAGTTCTTTTTTTTTTAATTTAATTTAATTTTTTAAGATTTTTATTCATCTGAGAGAGAGAGAGAAAGAGCACAAGCAGGGGGAGAGGGAGAGGGAGAAGCGACTCCCCGCTGAGCCGGGAGCCCGATATGGGGCTCAATCTCAGGACCCTGAGATCATGACCTGAGCTGAAGGCAGATGCTTAACCATCTGAGCCACCCAGGCGCCCCAAGAAGTTCTTTTATATTGTGCAGGTAAACCAAAGTGCCAACACAGTTTGTCCACCTCCACCAATCCCATGAATTGGGCCGTGTTTTTACTCTTGATTTAAAACCTTCTGGATAACTACAGTTCAGTGACTCTATCCCAATTTTATTGAGCCTATAGTTTATTTAATATATGATGGGAGGTTCATTCCAGGGGTAGTAATTTGAGGAAGTATAGCTACTCTGCCTCTGCTTCATATTCATATGCAAATCCTCGTGGCAATGGGAGTTAATAAAATATTGTATTTTTTATTTAAAATAAAATATCCAGGTGTCATGATCCCATCACTAATGCTCTAAACAAAAGTTATCTAAAGTTTAAATAACCTTTTATTCAAAAATAAACATTGTGAATACATGTTAAAATTTGGTAAAATATTGCAATTAATTTCATGTTTAAAAAATTAAATTATTTGGGGTGGTTAAGCCTCCAGAGTTCCTTTAAAAATGGAACAGTGGAAGTATCTTAGTAGGTGGTAGAAAGTCAGTTTTCTTGAGTAGGAGAAAAATTCTTTAGCCCTAAACAAAGTTGTCATCATCTTAATGGATTTTTTTTTTCTGTGATATTGAAGAAGGTGGAGAAAGCCTCAGAATTTGCAGTTTCAAAAGCATTTTCTCCTACAAATTCCAATTTGTCCAGAAGGCTTTGGAGCCAAATCATAGATTTGGAAACATCTGAGCAAATAGAGGATCGTGATGAAGTCTATGCGGAAGGTAAGAGAATACATTTTTTTGCTGCAGTGTTAACAGTTCTTTAGAATACAGCTTATTAAAGCATAACCTATAATGCATTTCAAAGTACAGAATGGAAATTTTTCATTCTTTTGCGCTTCAGTTTCGTGTTTTTCCACCTCCCTGAAACTAATCTATCCTGGAGTGAACTCCAATATTACAAGTAAGGCTATATTTAAGGCTCATTCTGTCTTCTGAAATGGAACCACATCAAGAGGCAGGTTGATATGACACAGCTAACTAGTGAGTGTTATAAGGTATTCATCCTGTGGCATGGAGGGCAACATGATCACTTGATCTAGTATTATGAGATCATTTGACAATTAGTTTGCAAATCCACTTTATTCTTTATGAAGAGAGTCTAAGATTGATCTAACCTTCCTACCTCCCCAAAACATTTACTCCTCTGGAATTTAGTATTTTAGTTTCTGTTGCTCTTGGGAACACCAGCATTTAGGGATGAATAGATCAGGAGGAACCAGCAAAGACTGGAAAGGAGAAGCCACAGAGGAAGAAAGTCAGAGTGGCCATGTCCTGGAAGCCAGCTTCCATTTGGATGATTGTCTCTCTTTATTCCATTAACTTATTCCATTAAATGTCTCTATTTATTCATAGCATGTCTTTATTCAAAAAATATATATATACATATATAATTATTTATGTTTATAAGTATGTATATGATAAAAACTTTTATGTTTATAATCTATTATATATATTTAAAAAATTATCACTCTGTGTCAGGTACTATTTTAGGTACTAGGGGAACCTAAAATTTTGAACAAGAGAGGCAAAGCCCTTGCTTTCATGGGGTATACATGCTAGTGTGAGAATAAAGGAAACTTAAAATTATTAGGTAGTGATAAGTCATTCAAGTTTGGACCTGAATAATAAGAAGGAGCCAGCTAAGCAGTAATGGAGGAGGGGCATCCTAGACAGAGGGAAAGGTAGCATCAAGAGTTAAAGTATAGGCAAGCTTGGTGTGCTTGAGGAACTGAAGGAAGACTAGTGTGGCTGGAACATCCCAATGGAGATGAGCGTGCAGGAGTGAGCAAAAGACCTAGTACATAGGGCCTATAGGCCTGGTAAAAGAATTTAGATTTTATTCTGAGTATGATGAGACATCATTGAAGGGTTTTAAGCAGTGGTCAACAGATCAATATTTTAAATATGAAAAGTGGATTATAGGGGAGAAAAGGAGGGAAAAGGGAGATCTGTGAGAGGCTGGTGCAGTGGTCTGGGTGAGCAGTAAAGGCCCTTGGTCTTGGGTGGTTGGTAGAACTGGAGATGGAAAAAGGAGATTGGTTCAGAAATTGGCAAGACTATGTCTTGCCCACCCCATCTCCCAACCCACTGTTGGGAATACACAATATACTTTAGCCTCTTAAAGTTTCTGAGAAGTCATGCTGTCTAAAAACTAATGTTTACTTACCCCAAATCCCAAGCTTCCTATACCTGGAAACTCCTTTTAGCCTGAAATCCATATTCCTATCCTGAAGAGTTAGTGATACACATTAGAAAGTACTAGTGTATGAACAGAACATGGTTTTCAAAGGTTTATATCCCTTTTTCTCCTCTCATCAATCATCTGTTAATATTCAATAAGAACCAGTGTTCTGAGGAACATATTTTGAGAAACTCTGCTTTAATGTAGCCTTAGAGCCTCTGATCCAACAGGAGATGTTCCTGCAGTTGAACTCTCCAAGGGTAGTTCGCTTTCTTTGTGCTTTTGGGGCACTTCATAGCAAACCTCTCTTTACTAATGAATGGCATTGAGTAGATCTGAATTATTCTACATATAAATTATTATACATATAAATGTCTGACTTACTGTACACAGGGTTACTCAGTAAATATCTGTCCCCTTTCTCTACCTTCCTCTGAAAGCCAATAATATTTGTTGCTAGTATACTTTTTACACTTGGTTTCTACTATCTTGATTCATTCTTTTCTATTTTATATGTCCCGCATTCCTATCTATTTTAAATGCCTTTTGGCCTCATTTAATGTAAGAAACATTCCATTCCCTCAGAGCTATATGATCATGGTAACAGTGATGAAGATAGTGCTGAAATATATACTTTTCTTCTTTGAAACCCCTATGCCTACCCATAGAGCTGTTTGATAATGATGATAGTGATGAACGTATTGCTAAAGTAGACATTTTCTCTCATACCTATATATTTAAGATTTTCTGAATATCACCAAGTAAGAAATTCAAATAGAAGTTGGCTTCCAGGAAATCACACTATTTTGATTTTCCTCCTACCTCAATGGCCTCTCCTTCCTAGTCTGCTTTTCCGGTTCTGCCTTATCTCTTCAACCCCTAATACTGGAGTTCTTCAGGGCTTATTCCTGGAACCAGTTCTCTACCCATCTTCCTCTTTTGGTGCTCTCATCCACTTCTGTGGCATTAAATTCTATCCATATGCTGATGACACCCACATTTATTTCTTGAGCTTGGACCTCTCCCCAGAAATCCAGAGTGGTATAGCCAATACCTGTTTGACACTCTTATTTGTATGTCTCCTAAGCATTTCAAACCCAACTAGTCTAAAACTGAATTCCTGATCTTCCCTCCTGACCTGCTTCTCCCTCAGCCTTCCCTGTCTCAGTAAATGGCATCTCCATTTTTGCAGTTGCTTAGGCCAGAAACCTTGCAGACTTCTTTCATTTCCCATATCTACTGCATCAGCAAATCCATCAATTGCATCTCAAAACAATACTTTCTAAAATTGGACGATTTTTAATACTTCCTCTCCAGGTCCAGGCTACTGTCACTTTCCTGGATTATTGCATTTGCCTCCCAATTGGTGTCCCCTGCTTCTGTGCAAGGGATTTTCAACCTCAGCACTGTTGATGTTGATTTTCAACCTCAGCACTGTTGATGATATAACAGATAATTATCTTTCGGGTGGGGGCTGTTCCATGCATTGTTGGATGTTTAGCCACATATCTGCCCTCTGCCTACCAGATGCTAGTATCATTTATCCCTGTTATGATAACCAAAAATGGCTCCAGACATTGCCAGATGTCCACTGGGGGGCAAGATCATCCCTGATCTAGAACCAGTGCTCTAAATCTGATCCCCACATTACCTCTTTACTTTATCTCCTGTTATTACCCCTTCACTCACTCCTTTCTAGCCACACTGCCTCCTTTCTACTTCTCCAACACTCTGGACATTCTCTTCCTTAGGACCTTTGCAAATGCTTTCCCTCTGCATGGAATAACCATATGGCTCACTCCCTCACGTTCTTCCCTTCTTTGCCCAGATGTCTTCTCAGTGAGGCCTTCTTTGAACCCCAAATTTAAAACTATCAATACCTACCTTCCATTTCTTACACACCATTTCTCCTTTGCCTGCTCTGTTTTTCAGATTTACTTATTTTTTGTCTCTCTTCAATTAGAATGTAAACTTCGTTGGTGATAAGTTTTATTTGTCCTATTTGTTGCTCTTTTCCCAGCATCTAACACAGTACCTGACACATGATAGATGCTCAGTATTTACTGAGTGAATGAAAACAGTGAATGAAGAAAGTCTTTGAAGTAATAGGAATATTAAAAAGATTTTTTTGTTTTATTGATAGCTCAGGAGCTAGTCAATGACTGGTTAGACACCAAACTTAAGCAAGAACTAGCAAGTGATGGTGAAGATGGTGCTGAAGACACTGTGTCAAATATCCTTCCTGTGCCGGAAGCCAGTGATCATTTGAAATATGACAAGTTTGATGGTAAGAACTTGTCTGATTGTTCTAAGCTTTAACATCTAATGAATGTATCTAAGAAGTCTTTTTAATTGTTTTGAATAATGCTATATTATTTGACTTTTCTATGATTTGCTTAGTTTTATAATTGGCTTTAATTTTTCTTGGTTCAATTTAAATTACTTATCTGTATCCTCAGTATGTTCATGGTGTTTTTTAAATTAAAATATTCTATTTGTAATTCTTCTTATGATTATAATAGCAATTAATGCTCTTTGAGTGTCTCTTCCCATATATTGTTGGATGACTCTTTACTCTGATGGGGCTACATTTAAACATTTTATATTTATAAAAGAGTTTACTACTTGTACACACAACTAGTGAGTGAGGATTCCTCGAATGTACTCAGAATTTGGTATTTTTTTTCCTCAGCATAAAGGTAGGCCTGGTGATGGTGGTGGGCAGCAGCTCCTCATGTGTGACTCACACACCCTTGGTAATCTCACCTGGCAGAATTCCCCTTGTTTAGGACTCTACAAAAATCTACAAAATCCCCAGCCTAGGAATCACAAAGTCATGAGCTCTTAAAGTTAGAGGAATCCTTCTAGATCACCTAGTCTGATCTCCCTGCTTCACCCCCTCAGATAGAGATCCTTCTGTAGTATCCCTCACATGGGGTGATAGAATCTCTGCCAGCACATCTCCCAGGATAGAAGGAGCCCATTCACTTGTTGTGGGGCTCTAATCCTCATACATTTTTCTCTCAGGAGAGTTAGGAGTTTGACCTCTGTAACCCTTTAGTGTAAGAGAAAATAATACCATGTTCCCTTTCCCAAGAAAAGTAGTAGTGTTGTTGTTGTTGTTTGCACGTGATATAATCATGTCTGATCTCTCATATACTTCAATGTTCCTAGCTTAAATATACCAATTCTCACAGTAGTTCTTTATATCACATTGTTTCTAAATCTTATCATGCTGGTTGCCTCCTTCTGGATGTTTTCTAATTTATTAATGTCATTAAAGTGAGGCATTTTCATACTTCATATTTATTCTGAAGCATATACGGAATATAGTGAAACTATGACTCCTTTCATATGGTGCTAATAGATCTAGTTATATTTCTTTACCAGGCCTCATTCATCTTATGCTTGTAGAGTTTTTTGTTTTATTTTCCTTTTTTTTTTTGATTGAAACATTCCTATTATGTAGCCATTTAAAAAGGATGTTTACCAAAAATACTGATTAATGGGATTATCTCAATAGACTCAGAAAAAGTACTTGACAAAATCTGACAACCATTCCTGATAAAAATGCTCAGCAAACTAGTAATAGAAGGTAAATTCCTCAACCTGACAAAGGGCATTTACTGAAGTCATACAGAAAACAAATACCAAAATGACAAACATAAGCTATACGTTATCAGGAATTACATCTAATGTAAATGGATTAAACAGTCCAATTAAAAGACAAAGATTGGCAGAATGATTTTTAAAATACGACATAATTATATGCTATCCACAGGAGACACAATTTAGATTCAAAGACACAAATAGATTGAAAGTAAAAAGATGGAAAAGCTATACCATGCAATCAGTAACCAAAAGAAAGTGAGAGCAGCTTACTAATTAAGGAAAAAAATAGACTGTAACATAAAAAATTGTTACTAGGGACCAAGAAGGGCATTTTATAATGATAAAGGGTCAGCCATCAATAAAACATAACAAGTATAAACATACATACACCTAAGAAAAGAGCCCCAAAGTAGGGGTGCCTGGGTGGCTCAGTTGGGTAAGCATCTGTCTTCAGCTCGGGTCATGATTTCGGGGTCCTGGGATGAGCACTGCACTGGGCTCCCTGCTCAACGGCGAGGCTGCTTCTCTCTCTCTGCCCCTCCCCCTGCTCATGTTCTCTCTCTCTCTCTCTCAAATAAAATCTTTAAAAAAAAAGCCCTAAAATACATGAAGCAAAAACTGACAAAGTTGAGGGGAGAAATAGGTAATTGTACAATTCTCCAAATTATTTGGAGACCTTATACCCCATTTTCAGTGATGTATGGAACTAAACAGAACATCAACAAGGAAGATGTTCCTATAATTAGTCATTGAGAAAATGCAAATTAAAACTACCTTGAGTAACCACTACATACAGTTTATATCCAAAGACTGACCATACTAAGTATTGGTGAGGATGTAGAGGAACCAGAACACTCCAATACTGCTGGTGAGAATATAAAATTTTGTGACCACTTTGGAAAACTGCTTGACAGTTTTTTAAAAAGTTAAACAGATACTTCTATGATCAAGCCATTCCACTCCTAGGCATTTTTCCAAGAGAAAACAAAGCATATGTTCATACAAAAACTGGTACACAAATGTTTATAACAACTTTATTTGTCATAGCCAAAATCTGGAAACAGCCCAAATGTCTATCCATGAATGAATGAACAAATTATGGTATACCCATACAGTGGAATACTAATCAGCAGTAAAAAGTGATGAACTGTTGATACAACAACATGATGAATCTCAGAAGTAATTGTGCTGAGTAAAAGAAGCCTGACCAAAAAAAGAGTACATAGTGTATGATTTAATTGATAAGAAATTCTAGAAAATGTAAATTAATTTATCCTGAGAGAAAGCAGGTCTGTGGTTGCCTGGGATAAGACCGAGAACATGGGGAGGAGTGGGAGGAAGAGATTGCAAATCAGTTTGAGGACCCTTTTGGAACTGACAGACATGTTCTTTATCTTGATTATAGTGATGGTTTTACTGGTAGATGTATATGTCAAAACTTATGGTAGACTTTAAATATTTACAGTGTATTGTATGTCAGTTATACCTCAATAAAGCCATTTAAAAAAAACAATGGAGTCTTCAAGGATGTTTAGACTGAAGTAGTATCTTTTACATTTGGCAGTGAAGGAGTCTTTCATGTCTTGGGTGATGATAATTCCTCATGAGTGGAATTTTCTTTCCTCTCAGTTGAAGGTAGTTAATTGCTGAGGGCTATACTCATGCAATTGGCATTATCAGTTACTATTTATTGAACACTCAGCTTCATATTTTTATTGTACCAAGATTATTTATATAAATATGGAAATTGTACTAAATTTTTTTTTTAATTCTCCCTTTTTTTGTTGTTACTCTGTCTCCTCCAGAGTTGTGTGGCTATTTGGAGGAAGAAGAGGAAAGTACCACCGTTCAAAAATTTATAGACCATCTGCTCCATAAAAAAGTGGTGGATTCTGGAATGTTGGAAGATCTTGGAATGAATGGAAACCAAGACAAGCAGCAGCAGAAGGATCCTCGTCTTACCATGGAGATGAGACATAAGCAGGTGGGAGGGAAAAACAAAATTAAAATGGGTAACAGGAAGCAATCTTTGTGTAGCACATTTAATAAGCTTAAATAAAGACTTAGGTTTTATTATGAAAAAGAGTGCCATCTGTGGTTTGGTTAGAAAGAATAAAAATAAAATATAAGAACTTAGAAGAAAAATAATGCTCATAAACTGAGGACAGGAAACAGTTTATTTAAAAAAACCAAAAGAAGGAATAATTGATTTTGAACAATGGAGTGGGTGAACTAAACTTTATTAGTTTGTATATGGTACTATTATAAATATGTAGATTGGTTTTGCTTGAATTTGATTTTTGAACTGTGACATCAAAATATTAATATCATGAATATTCTAGTGACTGTTATAATGATAATTCTTTTCCAGACAACTGAAAAATTGACTCATTTTGTGATTATAATTTGAAAGGGAGGACAGATCTGAATTAAATCTCGTTCAGCTGTTTTGAATTAGAAAGGCATATGGGAACTTTCTTTTCTTCAAAGGGAATAAATAGTGGGTTATAGGAAAAAGATGCGTCTCAATTCTTTGTAGAGGAGCTTCAGAAAATCAGAATGACCAAGTCTTCTCCACATGTCCAGAACTAAGACTGAACTAGAATGAATGTCTATACATTGTATGTTGTCTTTTTATAACCCTGAATTTCTGATTGCTTTAAAGCATTAAGGTGTGCCTAATCAGCACTGAGGATGTTAGAAAAAGGGGTAGAAGTATGATCCTAGTTTGGGTTTGTGATAAAAGGGAGGAGAGAAGGTTCAATAAGAGATTGCCAATACCTAGAAGTCTTATAAGTAAAGAATAAGATAAGGTCAGTGAAGAGGGAGGTAAAGGAGCACTCCTTAATTCATAGCTAGAAGAGCCGCTAGAGAATTAATGGGTTTGAAAAATTGATTGTGCTTATTCAGAAATATCATGGTTTTGATTTCCAAATATGAGCCAGAATCATTGATACATTTAAATAACGATCCAAGTGAATAGTGTTGTGGGGCGCCTGGGTGGCTCAGTCGGTTAAGTGTCTGCCTTCGACTCAGGTCATGATCCCAGGGTCCTGGGATCGAGCCCCGCATCGGGCTTCCTGCTCTGCGGGAAGCCTGCTTCTCCCTCTCCCACTCTCCCTGCTTGTGTTCCCTCTCTCGCTGTGTCTCTCTCTGTCAAATAAATAAATAAAAATATTTTTAAAAAAATGAATAATGTTGTGTTCCTCAGGCAGTAAATCACTGTTGTATCTTTCACGATGTAGCCTCCCCAAAATATCCATATTCTTTCTTAAATGGCATGCACAGAGGGCCTAAATAAACAGCAGTAGTATACACCTTGGAAAATTTTAGGGGTGGGATATCATTACTATGTAAGAATCCAGAACTTGGCATCTGACCCAGTAAATTTTCAACTTTTCCATGGTGCAGATCATTCCCAGAGTGCTGGGAGTCCTCTGACCTGACTTCATCTAGACTTCTGTATTGGCTCTTACCCAAGTAAACAAATGAATTCTTCCTATTCTTCCAATGAACAGTGAGCTTCTGGGCCAGAATCTTTCCAACTGGGCATATTGTGAACTTGGAAATGTATTCTAAGCTTTTGTGTATCCTTTGCTACTTGAAAGGCTGCATTCCACCCTCACTGTGTTCTCTTTAAGGTAAAAGAAAATCGCATGAGACGTGAGAAAGAACTGGAGCACCAGAGAATGGAAAAGACCCTGAAAAAATCGGTCTTCTTAGAGGCTCAGTATTTGGTGCAGGTAGAGAAGAGAAAGAAGGCTCTGGAAGCCAAGAAAGAGGAGGAGGAGATTCAAAGGGAGATGGTAAAGCTGCGGAGGGAGATAATTGAGAGGAGACGAACTGTGGAAGAAGCATGGAAAATGTAAGCCAGCCGTGGTGAGCGGTGTGAAGTTTTTTTTGTCTAAGCAGTCATTTTGGAAGTTTAAAAACATGGACATTGTGATAACAAAACACAAAGAAGAAATCACCCACGATTCCATGATGTTAACAAATTGTTTATGTTTTTCTGTTTCCTCTGGGTCTTGATCCCTTTACATACTTAATTGCAACCATAAAGTACATTTATTTTGCTTGTTTTAGTTAACACATTGCCCAGAGTCCTGAGGTCTGTATATTATTTCTCCATTGAGTTCCTAGACCGTAATTTATGTAATTAGCGTCCCCCCCATCTGATAAGCATTTCAACTATTTCAGGTTTTTCACCATATAATAATGCAGTGAGCTTCCTTGAGCATAGAGCTTTCTACATTCTTAGGCATGTAATTACTGAGTTAAATGGTATAGGCCTTTGATGACTCTTGAAACATTGGCAAATTGCTTTCTAAATGGGTTGTACTTATTTACACTATTGCTGGCAGTGGACGAGGTTACCACACTCTTTTTAGCATTGGGAAGTACTATCATTTTCAATACTTTTGCACTTTCAATAGGTATTATGTTGGTTAGTTTGCATTTCTTTGGTTACCTGAACATTGTTAAAATTGCCTGCTAATTGTGCCTCAGCCTATGTGAAGGGTGTGAGTGTCTTATCTTCTGATAATCATACAGAGTCATCATTGCCCTCCAACCACTGACAATGAACAGGAATATCTGAGCTAAGAGGAAAATCAAAATAGTCCTCACAGGATGTAGTACTGTTATATATCCTCATGCAGAAAATGAGCTTCTAAATGAAATAACTAATGTATTTATTCTGAGAAACAGCACTGGTGCATGAACTGCAAAAAGCCTTGGAGTAACGTGCCTGAAGTGACTGAATACTCAAACTCAGAGGCCAGAAACACCTATTCGATAATCCCTCTCGCCCCCATCAGCCTACACAGCTTTTCCCCCTGTGTTCCTGATTGCTCTTATTCTACCCAATTTAAAACAGCTCGGCAGTGGACGAGTGCTTCGCTCTTTCAAGTGCCAGCCTCAGGCCTCCTCCAGACACCATTCCTTTTAGAAAGCAATCACCGGTGTTTTAGTGAGTTCTTGCTAAGGTCAACCTTACTTTTAGATTGCTTTTAAACCCTGAAAAATCTAGGCTGACCTAAAATAAATAGTGAAAACAAGTAACATTTGATGGGAGCGGGATGCTGTGCTCATAGTGGGCACTCAACAGATGCTCACTGACCACTCGTTAAAATCTTAGCCATGGTTACAGTGATTCAGGTAACATGCTATACTGCTAGCAGATGAACTGATTTAAACGTTCCACAAGGCAATTTGGCAATAAACAACAGGAGCCATAAAAATGGTATTACCGCTTGACCTGGAAATTCCAGTCTTAGGAAAACACCCCTAAGAAAATGATCAGAAATCCAAAGATTTGTGCACAAAGATAATATTATTTATAATGGGCATTAATAAATACTGGAGAAATTAATGAAAATGGTTATACAATGAGGCAGCACTGACTGTTGTCAGTGTTTTTCTGGGTGGAAATATGGATGGCTTTTATATCCAATTTTTCACAATAAGTGGCTATCCCTTTTATAACAGATACATATTTTAATGTTATTTGAAAATCAGATCCATGGTATTAGAACTGTATTTCTTTAAATGGCCACTGTGGTCGGCCTATAACTGTCTAATATAACACTGTTATGGCATTTGGATAGAGTCAGTAAAATTTTATTATTGATAGTTTTTAATTTCTTTGTAAGCTATCCTAAATCTGCTTTATTGCATAGTTTCAAAATATCTCCTCTAAGAGATTTATTAATTATTAATTAAGGCAAAAATGGCAACTTCATACTGGAGAGGTCCCCTTAGCCAAGTGATGGTTAACATCACCAATAATAAGATATAACACTGTGTGTCCTCTGTATGTATATGAGAATTAATGAGAATGTCTATAGAGTAGCCTGGCATCCCTCTCAACTTGAGTTTCCACAACTATAAAGTGAAATTCAGAAAGATAAGGTGACCTGTGTGAGTTTTCACAGCTGGTTTGTGGCCAGAGCCCATGAATCCTGATTCCTGACTATTTCTACTGTATCATTGGTAGTATATATACCTTCCACACATATACATACATATACTTTAGTATACTCCAGTAAGAAGGCAGTGACTGTGAGCTTGCTTGAATTGGCATGTGGAAGAGGGATGACCTGGATGAGAAAGGATATGTGGGTGAGACAGCGGATGACCAGAGAAATAAGCAACAAAGTTACAGAGCGATTCCTGTCACTTGCCTGAAAGTTTTTTCCTTATTGTTATTAAGTTCTATTTTTTCTCTTTTCAGCTATTTTAGAATTAATATAAATTTCACTCTCTCGTTATACAAGAATACCTGATTCTTTTGTTATTTTTCTCCCTAGAAGCCTTGTAAAAGCCTTGGGGTAAAAATCTCATCCCTCTCTTACCTGAGGGTCCTTTTTTTGGTCTCTCCCTTAGAAGAAAAGAGAGAGCTTATGTCTACATATTGTTAACTCTCAAATTTTGATCAAAGTATCCCTCGATGATAAACTCAATAAAAATACTTTACCAAAATATTTATAGGGCTTTCTAATTTCAGAGTGTAACAGTCTCTTATTTAATCTATATTTTATAAAGGAGTAAACTAAGGCTTAAAAAAAAAAAAATCACCCTACAATGTAGTTTTAGAACCAAATCTAAAAATCTGTCTTCTGGGGGTGCCTGGGTGGCTCAGTCGTTAAGCGTCTGCCTTCGGCTCAGGTCATGATCCCAGGGTCCTGGGATCGAGCCCCGCATCGGGCTCTCTGCTCCGCGGGAAGCCTGCTTCTCCCTCTCCCACTCTCCCTGCTTGTGTTCCCTCTCTCGCTGTGTTTCTCTCTGTCAAATAAATAAATAAAATCTTTTAAAAAAAATAAAATCTGTCTTCTGATGGAAAATTCAGTGTTCATTCCACTATAGTAGGTTGTAATTACCCATCGTTAATTCTGTTGTTCATACATGTTTTTAAAATTGTTAACAGAGAGAGGAAAAAGCAGGAAGAAAATTCTCCCAAAAATACAGAAAAAGGCATGGTTCAGAGTGATTATATTCTTCTGGGTGAAGAAAAAATGGCGAAAGAAAGAAAGAAGAAACTGAGAGAGTTATTAATCCAAACTTTCAAGGAAAATCATCAGGTGGGAATTATAACTTCTCTTTTTTCAGCATTCTGTGGTGTAAATGACAGAGGGCTCCATCAGAGATGGGCCAGTGTCACACTAAGCCCAACTGAGCCTCATCGCAAATACCAAATTGCCCACACCGTTGGTTCTATGCTGCCCACCTGACCTAGGGCATGGGGTTGTGCTCCAGTCCTCTGTGCAGGGGCTATTCTTATAGATACTTTGATCTTGGGAAATCGGGTGTGAATCTAGGGTGGCTTCCTAAATTACTCTTTTCAGAATAGCATGTAACTACTAATGTAGATCTCTGGTAGGTTGTGAAAGCTTGGCTTCCACAGTCTTCTGGATTATTCAGAAGAATTACTCAGAAAAGTCACTTGCCTTCTGGGAGCTAAGATCTTAAAGCAGTGATACACTTCTCCTTTTCATGGTCTGCATTTTATTTTACTCTTTTCTCCCTCTCTTTTACTTTTTGTAAAAAACAAAACAAAACAACAACAAAAAAAACTAGTCTATTTTTATTGACAAATGAGCATCCTTTCCAGGCCATTTAAGCAGAAGTTTCTTTCAGTGAAGTGGGATTGACAGCAGTATGCCTTTGGAACTTATAACATTTCAGGTAAAAGGGATTAGTTGGAAGATATGTAAAGTGAGAAGGTTGGATGAGAAAAGATAGATATGATATTTTATATTTCTTGTAACACCCACCCAAAGCCTTAGGCTTCGCTGAAATTCAGTGAAAGTTAGTGAAGTGAATGCAGGAATGCACAGATTTAACAAGAGAAAAGACAATGTCAAGATGATATTGAGGGAGCTTGATAAATATAGGATAGACTTACAGAAGCCCTGGAAATCAGTATCAGAAATTTGAATATAATATTGATAACTGGGATATGAGCAAGAAAGTAATGTAATCTAAACAATTTAAAGAGACATGGGCGCCTAGGTGGCTCAGTCGCTTAAGCGTCTGCCTTTGGCTTAGGTCATGATCTCAGGGTCCTGGGATTGAGCCCCGTGTCAGGCTCCCTGCTCAGCGGGGAGTCTGCTTCTCCCTCTCCCTCGTGGTCTCCCTCTCAAATCTTAAAAAAAAGAGAGAGAGATATGTTTGATGGAGGTATTTTGGACTGATGGGCAAGAAGTCATAATTATTGAGATATAAAACAACAAAAGCTTTGGTCAGAGTTTTGGCTTTAGGAATAGTGAGGGAAGAGTTAGCAGGAGGAAATGTTAAGAGTTGACATTAACATTTTGAGAAAGATTGGCAAGGACTCAGATGCTGTATCCTTCACAAGACCGAATTGGTGTGTCCTACGATAACAGTTCAGATTTCTGAAGGAAAATGGGAAAGGAGATGAATACTCAGGGGGCCATCTAGAGAAGGAGTGAGGAAAACGTGCCATGATCTGTTACCCATCCAATGAGAGATGAATAAGACATGTGTTTTCTAGAAACTTAATTTTTAAATTCACTGTACAGGAAGAAATAATACATGTTTTAGGTAGAAGTGGCTAGTTATGAATTTTAGACACTTGAGAAGAGTTTTACAAAATTAGTGGTCCACCTAAAACCGATTACTCAGTTTTAAAAAGACCAACCAGTGTAACTTAAAAATGTGAGATTATGAATAAATTATCTCCACTCCTCACAGATTCTGCTTGATCTAAACCTATACTATATTGTTGTTAAGTTCTCATTTTGAAATAATTTTAGACATACAGAAAAATTGCAGAAACAGGACACAGAATACCTGAATTCCCTTCATGCAGCTTTCCCCAATGTTAACATCTTATGTAAATGTAACATAATTATCAAAACTAGGAAATTAACCTTGGTACAATACCATCAAATACCATTAACTAAACTATACACCTTATTAGAATGTCACCAGTTTTTCCACTAATGTCCTTTTTCTATTTCAGGACTTAGCCCATGATTCTACATTAGAGAATGCCTAGGAATAATAAAATAAAAAAAACTTAAAAAAAAAAGAGAATGCCTAGGAGTATATATCTAGGACTCAGTCCATAATTCTGTTTCATATAGCTGTCATGTCTCCTTTGCCTCTTCCAGCTTTATGACAATAGCTCCTCAGTCTTTCCTTATCTTTTATGGCCTTGACATTTTTTAAGGGTACTGATCAGGTATTTTGTACAATGTCTCTCAGCATTCTGAAAACATTGGGTTTTCTGATATTTTCTCCTGCTTAGATTGAGATTATGCATTTTTGGCAACTTTACTACAAGAAGTGATGCTGTGCCCTTCTCAGGATCATACTGGGGGTACACAGTGTTAGTATGCTGGGTTTCTGTACTGTAAAGTTGCTTGTATTTTTTATTTTTTATTATTTTTTTAAGATTTTATTTATTTGTCAGAAGAGAGAGAGCAGCAAGCAGAGGGAGAAGCCGGTTCCCCACTGAGTAAGGAGCCCAATGTGGTACTCGATTCCAGGACCCTGGGATCATGACCGGAGCCAAGGCAGACGCTTAATGGTCAGAGCCACCCAGGCGCCCTATTTTTTTATTTTTTTGAGAGAGATCAAGCACGAGCAAGAGTGAGTGGGGGGGAGGGGGAGAGGGAGACAGAGAATCTCAAGCAGGCTCCATGCCCAGTGCAGAGCCTGATGCAGGGCTCGATCTTACAACCCTGAAATCATGACCTGAGCCTAAGCCAAGAGTCGGATGCTTAACCGACTGAGCCACCCAGGTGCTCCTGTACTGTAAAGTTACTATATCTCCTTTGGAATGTCTTAGAGGAGATATAGTAAAATTATGCAAATATCCTGTTTCTCCTTAAACTTTTACTTACTAATTTTAACATCCATTGGTAGGTCTTGCCTGTAACATTAATGTATTTGTCTAATGATGATTTTGTATTTCCCTCATTTCTTCGTCATTTATTAATTGAAATTCTTCTAGAAAGAAAACCTGTCCTTTCTCCCCATTTATTTATTTATTCAATTATGTCCTCTTAGCAGCATGGGCTCATGGGTATTTATTTTAGTTTGTGGGTGATTATTATTATTGCTTACTCTGTTACTCAAATTGTTCTGACTTTGGCCATTGGAAAATCTTTCAGGTTGACTTCTTTGTTCTTTCAAAATGCTTCCATGCTTTTTTGAGCACTTCCTTTCTTTCTGGCATGATGGGACATTCAGGCCCATCTTGTATTTTCCCTTTCTAGCCCTGGAATCAACCACTTCTACACAGAACTCTGGTTTCTTTATTGGAGAATAGTATTTATAGAAACCCAAATATGAATACTGGGTGCTATTACTGCTACTGGGGTGTCATTACTCAGACAGAGCTGGGAACTGTGTGTATACTAACCCCCACATATATACACATTATATGTATTTCTGTGTTTGTCTGTCTGTAGACATGTTAAAATCCGTGAGTTCATACTGATACCTCGAATTCCAGTGCAGTAACACAGGGGCCATGGTATCCTTTGCTCTTCCTTATTTATAACTTCTTTCTGTAACTATCTGTATATGTTTATTAAAATAATCATGAGTTCATAATGATGCCTTCAACCCTAATCCAGCACCACACATTTCAGTGTACCCTTTCCCCCTTGCTTATTTATAATTCCTTTCTCTGGCAGTGAGAAATCTGGCACTCATTACCCAAAATATATTTACTTATTTAATCCTGCTATACTATAAAAGTGGTTTCAGAATTGCTAACCCATACTGCTATGTAAACAAATTCGCTAACCAGAGTACAATATTGGTACATTATTTTCATTTTCAGTCGCATTCAGCCAGAATATTATTACTTAGGTTATAGGTTAGGTTCTGTTCTTCCCCTTCCATTTCAGTGTGATTATGTTATTTATTTGCAACATGGCTAGTGAACCTGTAATTTTGATTTCCCCCATGTATATGAGTGTAACAAGACATGGGGAAAATCCCCCTACCAGACTCCTCAGGCTTTTACGTAGACTTGGCTGGAGACAGGACAGTCCTCTGGTAAATGCCACGGAGTAGCAGACCCCCTGGGCTCATTACCTTGGCCCTAGTCCACATTCCTAGCCTGGTTCTAAAGGAGCCTAAAGCTGCCCTTGGGTAATGAAACTTGAACACTCAGCAACCTAAATATGACCACAGGATAAAAAGGGGGAAAATGCCTAGCTGGCTTGCAGTGAGTGGCTAGATAACAGGAAACTCTTGTCAGCACCCTCAAAATGGTTCACCGTCACAAGCCCAATAGCAAGCTATATAGAGTATTTGTAGGAAGACTTTAAAGAATCTGTTTCTAGGAGGAGTTCCAGTTCAAGCTCCTTTAATTCTTGTAATTCTCTGTGCTTTGACTCTGGATTGTATTTGTTCCCCCAAACAGTCTCTTTTAACATCACATGTGGGCCCAGTTATTCAATAGGAGACTTTCTGAGAGAAACAGAGCTGGCCCTCTTATCCAAACAGAGGTTCAGGTGCAGTGCTGTGCGTGCATCTTCCCCACATATTTCATTGCCTGGTCTCTTTGTTATATCAAAAACATCTCTTTCTCTATAGAAACTTTCTACTTCCATTTTCCATCCTATTTTCTCTTTGATCTTGCAGTGAAATCTCTTGGGGAGATACAGCAATCCTCATATCATTGCTAATTAGCAGAAACAACAAGGGATTAACTGTGAAACTCTTATACTATTTGGGAAATGGCCTTCTTAATTCTAACCCTGTTCTGAAATACATTTTATGTTTTCTTAAGAAGATAAGAAAGTCTGTGATCTTTGCTGCTTGTGAAAGTTGAAGAGAACAATGAAAGATGAGTTGATACTAACTTAAATCTTAATTCTGTGCGGGAAGTTTTGGTTTGCTTGTTTGGTTGGGTTTTTCTGTTAGAGAGTAAGATAATAGTGACCCAAAGGAATCATTGTTAATGTTGCGCTTACGGCATAGCACCTTCCAAAAGGCCACCCCACACTAAACCAGGGGAACATGGAGATATATGGAAAAGAAGCCTGGATTTTTCTGACAAGATGATGAAAACTGTAGTTAAGTACCTCATTTATAT